TAAAGTCCCTACTGTAAGCTAAAATCCTTTCACGGAATTCATTAATGGAAATAAAAATAGACCAATTCAAATAGAAAATAGTCTGAGCTCGAAATTATTTTTAACCTAACATAAGTACTTAAATTGAAAATTAAGAATGTAAGTTTGTACGTCGTAGAGTTATGCTGGAGTTGTAATATACGAGTAGTTGTAGTATATACATATAGCTTTACTGGGAAGGAGCCACTCTCGCAGAATGAGCATTTAGTCCACCTGGTGGTTTTGCCTCAGCGCAACTCTCTCTCTGGAACTAGGTGGACTATATGCTCGTTGTGCGTATAAACATATATTTTTTAACAGTGGTAGAGCCACGCGGCAGCTTTTGCTGTCGCACGGATAGGCCGGCTCGAATATGGGGTGGTACCTCGACCTCACAGAAAACCAGCGTGAAGTAGAGGTTTGCCTCTGCGTTTCGTTTGGTGAGTGCAGGTGTCCGGAGGCCCTTTTTACTGGAAATGAGGCATTCCATCTTAGTCCTCACGGGTGACAACGCATCTACATTTTGATTTGTAATAGAGGATAGATGTAGATGTCTATGGGCCGCAGCAACCACTTACCATCAGGTGGACTGCGTGCTCTTTTGTCACCCTTATCTTATAAAAAAAAAACTTAACTTGAAAACGTTACTGAATAATTATCTATCGGTACATCATAATGGCTCTAAAACATAAAAATTTTCGAGATATCAAATAGACTTTTTAGAACTAATAACCTGTAAGTTTTATAAAGGTTCTTTAAATTACTTACCTACTCATTTCAGGGTTAGAAGATTCATCTTTTGGGTATCTATTTTACTTATATCATGTGTCTATTCATGGTACATAAGAGACTGAGCTCTTGCCTCAAATTTCAGAGTAACTTGGGTTCATTCCCCGTCGGCACCAATTAAATTGTTGACTGCAACTTTAACGGCTTAGTTTCCACATGCTCGGGCTTAGAAAAATAACATCGCGGGGAAAGCTGCATGTATAAAACATTAAATCTTTCGAGAAAACATGAAGTTCGCCAACACTTTTTGGAGCAGCAGCGCGAAGTAATTGCCCCATAATTCTATCAGAAATGAGGAAGCCAGTGCTCAGCAGTGAGACGTGTAAAGACGTATAAAGGTAACATCACTTTTTTTTTTGGCTATCGAAAGTCAAGGCATTGTTATAAAATTGGGTGGTTTTAACCCTTGACGCCAAAAGAGGAGTTTTATAAGTTTGACCGTTATTTGTGTCTGTCTATCTGCGTGTCTGTCTGTGGCACCGCAACTCTTACTTACTTAACTTTTTTAGTTTGAAAGGTGACTTTATTGAGAGTGTTCTTAGCTTTGATTCAAGAAAATATTTTCAGTGCGTTTGAAGACCATCAGCTCTTTTGTTTCGGGGGTTTTGGAAATCTTCAATTTAATGTTTTTAAGTTGTTTAATACCAACACTTGAACAACCTAATGGTTAACAAACATTTAAAAAAAAGTATAAAAGAGAAATATAAACAATATTTAATAAAACTAAGAACAAAATGATAATGTTGTGCTTATAATATTTAGATTTGGCGCAGTATCCGTTAATGATCCACTGCGGAACAATTACCATTAATCTTAAACTCCGAACGTCTACCTCTGCTTTATTTTCGTTTTAATATTTCCCCACGATAAATAAAATGTATTGTACAGCATTTATTTTCTTAATTTTTGCTTTATGATACTGGTAGCTGGATAAGGTTTTTTTTTAGTAAGTAATTCGTCATGTAGTGGCAGTGAAACAGAATCCACCAATAACTAAATATTTCAAACAGCTTTTGTAATACTAATAAACTGTAAGTTTTAGACAAGTTGTGTAGTAAGTTGTGTAAGTATTTATATACTTCTTACATGGTTAAAATTTCACAATATGGAATCAACGACGATTTGATCCCCACCGGCATCAATTACATTGTTAATTACAATTTTAAGTGCCGCGTCGTGGTGAAGAAAAACATTGCATGCATGTCAGAGAAATAAAAAAAAATCCAACACATATTGGGGAAGAGCAGCGGACACTTTCTTTCCCTAAGCCCTCTCGGAAATGAAAGGAGCCGTCCAGCCTATATACCTCCCTCTAGCCCAGCAGTGGGAGGTATATAAGCTGTAACATTATTTTTTACATTTTATCTAAGTTATATGTTGTCTATCCATGGAAGATCAGGGCCTGGCTCTTGCCACCGGCTTCGATTTCCACCAGCTCCAAAAAATTGTTAATTGTTGTGTCATTAGTGTGTGTGCTGTGTTGTGTTGATTTAACTCGCTTTTTTCGTTTATAACACCGAAATAATGAATTATCTTGCAGTCCACCTGATGGCAAGTGGCTATTGCAGTCCATGGACACCCGCAATACATTTATTATAAAAAGAAGGCTACTGATACACCCCTGACGACAAATCTATATCCATACAAATAAATAAAATTGAAGTGTCAGTTTGTAATGTCAAAGTTACAGCGTTTTACTAAATGCATATGAAAGTATAAACGGTACTTATAACTAAAGTACACTTTTTAAAATTTTTGTCTGTCTGTCTGTCTGTTTATTCCGGCTAATCTCCGAAACGGTTGGACTGATTTTGACGGAACTTTCACTGGCAGATAGCTGATGTCATAAGGAGTAACATAGGCTACTTTTATTTTAGAAAAATAATTAGGGTTCCTCGCAAAAAAAATAAAAACCAAAATTACACGCGGGCGAAGATGCGAGGAACAGCTGGTAATTATACTGGTTCTCATTATCCTTTAGACTGGAACACAGCAATGTAAGCACTACTATTAGGCGGCACAAATAGCTTGGGTGGCATCTACCTAGACGAACTGCTAGTCAGAAAAGGAATCCACTTGGTACGTACTTAGCCGTAAAGAAAATCATCGCCAGGAAACCTGCATTAAAAAAACTATTTCGAAGATTTGTGAAGTTCATCAACACGCAATGTTTCAGCGAAGAAAACTAATTACTCTATTAAGATCGCAGAAATTGAAAGAGGTCTGTGCCAAACAAAGTGTGACGTAGTGTATGTAGGCTGTAATTTCACTTTACTCATATCTTTAGCTGACGACCCTAATAAAGCAGTCTGATGTGTTTAACAGTCGCAAAAAATACTTCAAATGAAGTAACTACTATAATACTAATCATACCGTAATACTACTGTAATTAATGGATGTTAGTGATGTGAGAGAATGACGTGTTATCATAACTACCCAATTTTATTGCTGCTATAATGAGTTGCGATTTACAAACGTATCAAAAATTTATATAGTTTATTTACTTTTTAATTACTCTGGGACTCTCTCGTGATCCGCTAGCAAATTTGTCGCGGCCAATTTATAGCCAAATATCAGCAGAAAATTAAACGGCAGTAAAATACTTATATTTTTATATCTAGAATTTCTAAATTGGAAAACGAGGTTCTCAATTTGTCTTTACTACGTTGTTTGATTTCAGTGATTCTTTTTTTTATCAGGTAAGTAATTCCAAAAATCATCAAACTCTTCAGTTTAATTTTTCACCAACTCCAACTCTTTGAACTATGTTTTTACTTTTTAAAACTAAATTATAGAAATTCTACACCAAAGCGAGCAATCTAATTTCCGGTTCCTAATTCCTAGGATAGGATTTTTATCAGATCGGATCGGAGTCGGATCAATATAATAGGGAACTGGGTATAAGTGAAGCAAGCACGGCAAACCCAGCTAATTAGATAGAGGCGTTGGTTCAGTTCAGACTGTTATGAACTCATAATGACGTTATAATCTCGAAAGAGAAAGTTGCAGCCTTTTACGTTTGCTTGGCATTAAACTCTTCTTATTTTTAAGCGAGTTTTGGAGCTATTAGTCCTATACTAATTTGAATTTATTTACAAATAAACATACCTAAGTAGTAAGCTCTGACTAGAGCCTTACAAGTGTGTGTCTTATTTAATAGAAATAAAATAAAATAAAATAGTTATTACGGAGTTCTGGGCACCATATAAAAAGTATCTAATATTAAGACTAACATTGTAAGTAAAGCCGCGTATCCACAAAAAAATGTTGATAACAGTTATGTTTCCTAGTGTTTACAACTGTTTCCAACAAGCGTCTCCACCGAGGGAACAAATGTTGCAACAAGCGTATTCCTTTGATGTTGCCACCGAAAATGGAAACACGGTTCCCGATATTGGTGGAGACGCGGCTTAAGAAAGCCACAAGAAACACAAGTACGTCTCAAGACGTATCAAGCGGCCGATTGAACAACAGTTTTAGTTTCAACTCCATTTAAAATTACGAATAATTTATGGCGGTCGAAACAAAGCCCTTACATAAGGTCATCGCCCGCTATCCGAATGTTATGAATAGTTCTTTAAAGTCTTTTATCTCCGACCTAACAGTTATAGTCCTTGTTCGATTTTATTATAGCCGATAGAAAAATAACTTTGTAACCACTTGACAACTTAATATTTTTAAAAGCAATCGACTGAAACTTGCAGCATAAATAGATTTATAACTGTGGCGTACTTATAATATTTAATCTATCCACCCATCAATCCATACATTACGTAATAGCCCACTGCTAAGCATAGGCCTTTTCCATAGATTGCTTCATAGGGAGGACTTGCCAGAGTTGCCAAGTCTGGCAAAATCCTACCTATGAAGACGGGTTGGCAGTTCTTTATTATTTTGAGTCGTTATCAGGAAGATGATGACGCCCATCTTTTGTTGTAATCAAAATTACCCTATGCTGCTTCTTATGACATTTGTTATATTTATGGCTTTTTAATAGCCTAGTTTCATTATTTGGAAGGGTAACTAAGCTTTCTGAGCGTTAAGGCAACTAAGCACTAGGAATTCGACCGGAACCGTGAAGGCGTTTTACATACATAAATTGCTCATGGATGCACAGAAGTATTTTTTTTCTCTTTAAAAATGTAATAATGTATTGAGCGTTACAACTTAAAACGTCCCTCGGTTACAACTAAATGATGATGGTGATGTGGCAGTTGGTGATCGCGGCAGTGTATAGTGGTGAACCCGCGCAGTTCGAGAGCCTGCGCCTACTCAACGTGTTGTTGGTGGATGAAGACGACAATGTACCACACTTCCTTCAGAAGCACTACCAGTTCGCGGTCAAGGAGAACTTGCCAAGTGGCATCATCGTCGGTAAGATGCCTCTGACTCTTGATCTTAGCTTGGAATCGCAGCTTTAGCTATTTTCCCAAATCGCAATATTTTGTTTTAATGACCAGGTGACCCAACCGTGTAGTGGCAGTGTAAGCATATCCACTACCTCATATAATAATAATATTAATAATAAATGTTTTTATTGACCTATAGATTTAACAAATGTAAGTAAGAAAAGTGAGTTAAACAGTTTACTAGATGATAGGACTTTTTATGGTTACGTAGCCAAATGGCAAAAAACGGAATACTTATGGATTCGTCATGTCTGTCTGCCTATCCGTCCGTGTGTCACAGCCACTTTTTCCCGATACTTTAAGAACTATGCTGTTAAAACTTGGTAAGTAGATGTATTCTGTGAACCGCATTAAGATTTTCACACAAAAATAGAAAAAAAAAAATTTTGGGGGTTCCTCAACTGAAACTCAAAAACATTTTTCCTTCAAACCCATACATGTGGGGTATATATGGATAGGTCTTCAAAAATGATATTGATGTTCCTTATATCATTTTTTTCTAAACTGAATAGTTTGCGCGAGAGACACTTCCAAAGTGGTAAAATGTGTGCCCCCCCCCCCCCCGTACCTTCTAAAATAAGAAAATGATAAAACTAAAAAAAATATATGATGTACATTACCATGTAAACTTCCACCGAAAATTGGTTTGAACGAGATTTAGTAAGTAGTTCTTTTTAATCATCATAAATCGTAAATTATGTTACTTGCTGCTATGGAACCCGTCATATGCGAGTCCGACTCGCGCTTGGCCGCGTATTTTTCTTTAGGAAGCAGGTGCCACCCCCTTACCTATACTTGCTTGCACTGCTGTTTCGATCCGAAGGGTATAGAGAGCAAGTATGATTACAGGTTGTAAGGCATTCCTTCTTATTCCTCAGATGTGACAACACATATGTAGCCTTCTTTGATGATAGGACTCTTTTTTTTAGAAGTTCGTCTGTATAGGTGCCACCCTCTTACCTAATTTTGCTTGCACTGCTGTTTCGATCCGAAGGGTATAGAGAGCAAGTATGATTACAGGTTGTAAGGCATTCCTTCTTATTCCTCAGATGTGACAACACATATGTAGCCTTCTTTGATGATAGGACTCTTTTTTTAGAAGTTCGTCTGTATAGGTGCCACCCTCTTACCTAATTTTGCTTGCACTGCTGTTTCGGTCTGAAGAGAATAGAGAGCAAGTATGATTACAGGCTGTAAGGCATTCGTCTTATTCTTCAGATGTGACAATACATTTGTAGCCTTCTTTGTTTGGAGTTGCCTGCAGGCGTACATGGATTGCAGTAGCTATTTACCATCAGATGGATTGTTAGTTTTTTTTTATAGGATGGCGTGACAAACGAGCGCACAGCCCACCTGATGGTAAGTGGTTGCTGTGACCCATAAACATCTACATTTATCCTCGTTTGCGAATCAAAATGCAGATGCGTTGTCACACGTGAGCGCTAAGATGGAATGCCTCGTTTTCAGTAAAATGGCTATCCGGTTCTCTACACACACCATACGAAACACAGCAGTGTTAAACTGCTATTACTCACATATTTGACAAACGAACTTGTTACGTGGTAGAGCCATGCTGCAGCTATATTAATATCTGTAGCACGAATGGGTCGGCTCGTCTGTTTAACGACCACGCTTTCACAGAATACCAGCGTAAAATAGCAGTTGAACACTGCTATGTTTCGTGTGGTGAGTGTAGAGAACCGGAGACCCTTTTTACTGGAAAAGAGGCATTCCATCTTAGTCCTCACGGGTGACAACGCATCTGAATGTTTGATTCGTGATCGAAGATAGATGTAGATGTCTATGGGCCACAGCAACCACTTACCATCAGGTGGACTGTGTGCTCGTTTGTTACCCTATCTTATAAAAAAAATCTTATCCTTGAAAGGTGAAAACGCATCATTCTTCTTCTTTGTTCAGGGTTCGTTGAATAGTTACATGGGCTTAAGTAACCACTTACCATCAAGTGGATATAATATGTCCAATCTAGTAATTTCAGGCATCAATACCAAAAAAAAATATTGAACGATTTGAATTATTTCCGTCAAAAGATTCTGATGTTAGATAAATATTTTCCAGATTTGTTAATTATTTAATTTTCTGCGGCCTTATTGTGCTTCGTCGTGTTGTGGTTTCCCGTTCAACGTTGGGTTGGTATTCAAAAGCTTTGTTTCATTAAAATAACAAGCGGTACTTATAATTGATTTTCATTGTACAATTACTGGATGCTGCAGACCAATGATTTATTCCAACGAAAAATTTTATGACAGAATTTTCGTTTCTTAATATTAATTATGAGTATATCGTTTTTGTCGCCAAAAATATTGAAATATTTGTAGAATGAAAACACTGAAAAAATACTGAGATAACTGTTTAGTTTCAGTGTAATAATATCCATTATCCCATATCATTTTGTGGGTGTGATAAAAGGCGACAGAGTGAAAACTGAACATGGAGATGGCGAGCAGCATATTCCTAATAACAGGTGAACAAAAAAAATCTTCGGTTGCCAAGCCGCCTGCCAAGCGTGGCAACTACGGCAAATATCCCGCCTATGACGCAATTTATGGGGGAGTTCAGCAGTGGGCTTTTGATAGACAGTAATGTATTTTATGGTATTTGTAAAATGTTAAAAGTGCGATCATAATCATTATCATCATTACAGGTTCTCATAAGTTTTTTACTTACTTACTTACTTTTTTATTTATTTCTGAAACTTACAACTATCATTACTGGATTACCTAATGCGATAGTGTAGCTGTCTAACTGATTTGTACTGATTATAACAAATTACAAGCAATGCTGTCTTTTTGAATTCACTCAGAGTACAACAGAACAGGTCCGTCTCACTAGCTATTAAGTTGAGCGTATGGAGTGCGCGCTTCAGAGGCGCCTTAGGTACTCAGATGGTTAGTCCGACCGCGCGGCTCCACCAACAGTCGCGGCTGCCGTCGGCGCCACACATACCTCTCAGGAACACATATGTTTAATTGGCCTAACATTTCAGCGTCATGCAATTTTCCTCTGAGTATTTTAAAAATATACGAGGTGAGCGCAAGCTCCCTTCTAACTCTTAGTTCATTATATCCTACCATACCTAAGATAAACAAAGTTGGATACATTAGAGGATAAAATGGGTATATACTATAATAACGCATATATAAATATGTAATGAATTTATTCTGTACTTGCTCTAGAATGAGAGTATACTTAGTTTCATGCGGAGCCCAGACGACTGCATTACATTCAAGTAGACTCCGTAGTACCAATGTATTATACAAAGCGACAATCGCTTTTATGTTTGTGAATCCTCAGACCGTACGAAGCATAAATCCTAGATTTCTATAAGCTTTTTTACAGATGTTTATGATGTGATCATGAAAAGAAAGCCCTGTGTTAAAATCACTGCTTCAAGCCTCCTTTAAGATCAAAATATGCCACAAAACATAAAATTGCGATATAATATTCTAAATATTATTCTAAATCCCTAATATTACGCCGTGTACTGGAAATCCACTCTAAATAATAATAAGTGGTAAAATTAACAATTTTGTGCAACCGTTTTCAATATAAATAAAATATGAACATCATCAATTTAGCAGAAGTCAATTAAATACGCATTATCATTGATAACTCAAAAACTAGCAGTTAGATCTTGTTTAAATTTATACGTAACTACAAGAAAAGCACCAGCTTTCAAACAAAAAAAAGAACCATCACACCACACATAAAAAATACAGTCGATTTGAGTACCTCTTCCTTTTAAAAAAAAAATAACTTCTAAATCAGCCGCATTTCCCCATAGGAAAATTTCAAAAGACATTATGTTATGGCAATAACTGAAATAAACTAATCTAGCTGTCTCGACACTAGTGAGACCTCTAATCTTTTTTACAGCATAAGCTGTAGAGTTTAGTCTGCTTGCTAGTTTGGATATATGGGGGCCCCACTGAAGCTTTGCGTCGAACCAGAGTACGAAAACTATCCAAAGGTGTAAGACAAGATGACGTAATAACCCCGAAACCCTTCACCGCTGCATTGAAAGACGTTTTAAAGCTACTGGACTCGAAAAGATACGGTATTAACGTCAACGGCGAGTATATCACTCACCTTCGATTTGCCGACGATATAGTCCTTATGGTAGAATCGCTTGAGGACCTAAGCACTATGCTCAATGACCTCAATAGTGTCTCCTAATGGATGAACATGGACAAAACAAAATCATGTTTAATGTCCAAGTCACGCCTATGCTGATAGTTGTTGGGAGCACTAAGCACGAATTTATTGACGAATATGTTTACCTGGGACAAATAGTCCGACTAGGTAAGTCCAACTTTGACCGAGAGGTCAATCGACGGATTCAAATCGGCTGGGCAGCGTTCGGGAGATTACGACACATCTTCTCGTCAGACATACCTTAAAACATCAAAACTAGATTGTACAACCAGTGCGTGTTGCTAGTGATGACCTTTGGATCTGAGACGTAGTCCTTCACTGCTGGCCGTATGAGGAAGCTCAAATTGCTTAGCGAGAAAGTTGGAGAGGGCTATGCTCGGCGTTTCTCTGCGTGATAGACTTAAAAACGAGGATATCCGCAGTAGAACCAGAGTAACCGACATAGCTCAAAGAATTATTATGCTGAAGTGGCAATGGGCCAGCCATATAGCTAGAAGAACCGACAACCGATGGGGAAGAAAGGTTCTCAATGGCAGCCTCGTACCGGCAGGCAAAGTGTAGGCTGTTCCTACACTAGATGGAGTGACGACCTAGTAAGACATGCAGGAAGTCAATGGATGCAGATGACTCGGGACCGTGTTTTGTGGCATTCCTCGGGGGAGGCGTATGTTCAGCAGTGGACTTCTGAAGGGCTGTAATGATAATGATGATATTGATACGAGCACATAGTCCACCTGATAGTAAGTGGACGTTGTGGCCCATAGACATCTACCCTTGAATAAAGTATCAAAATGCAGATACGTTGTCACCCCATGAGGACTCACATAGTATGCCTC